ACGTTGTCCAGGTCTTTTTTAAAGACCACCACATCATCAGTGGCCACCACCAAGTTTGGGAACCTTTAAGCACCCTGGTGACATGCAGGACCATCAGAGAAAGCAGGCCTGGGGTCTTTGATCTTTGCAGAGGCCCATGTGAATGCTTTCATTTAAAAAAAAAAAAATCCCGGCTTGGATTCTATTCATCTTTACACTAATATGACTGCAAAATGGAATACTTCATGTTTTTATGGAGGAAGGTGTCCTGGAAAGGCAGCCCTGCCTGGGAATCATGAGAAGCTACCTCACAGCCACGGATGTTTTCCTCCTGGACGGCTGGAGAACCCAGTCTTTTCTGACCTCGGATCTGACTTCTTTCAGGTGACATGGATGAAGACATTATACCAGAAGAGGACATCATTTCCAGAAGCCAGTTTCCAGAGAGCTGGCTGTGGACCATAGAGGAACTGAAGGAGCCAGAGAGAAACGGGTAGAGCTGGGGTACCCCCAATCCGTATCCTAACCCAGGCTGGCACCCGTCGCTGCACGTCCCTGTCCCTTCCTGATTTCAGCAATCACGGTGGGACCACAGCCCAGCCTAGGAGTCAGGAGCTGGGTTACCCGCATGTGCCCAGTGCACACCTCACCCCGACAAACACCTAATACTGCATGCTCTGCCCCACCCAGCATCTCCACCAAGACCATGAACATCTTCCTCAAAGACAGCATCACTACTTGGGAGATTCTGGCCGTGAGCTTGTCAGATAAGAAAGGTGAGAAAGCCACCCCGAGTCCCCTGGCGTTTCCTCACCCATCCAGCTCAGCAGGTCAGCTGTTGCAGGGTACCTTGTGCTTGGACGGTGGTTACTACAGAGGCATCACACACTGGGCCATGAGGAAAGACTCCAAAATTGGTGATATTATATAAATATAATATGAAATAATATAAATATAAATCCCCTTCCAAGATCTCCAAGATCAGTTCCCTATAGAGTGGCCCATTTTTTACATTTGCAAACCTACACTGATACATTACTACCCAGAGCTTATAGTACTAGGTAGGGTTCTGTTTTTTTTTTTTAAGTACTTTTTTTTTTAAGAACTGAGTCTTGAACTCAGGGTCTTCACACTGAACTACATCCCCAACCCTGTTTTTATTTTTTATTTGGAGACAGGGTTATACCAAGTCACTAAGTTTGTCCAAGTTGAGTTTAACCTTTGCATCCTCCTGCCTCGGCCTCCCTGGGTGGTGAGGTGACAGGTGTGCACCACCATGCCCTGCTAACCTGTGGTTTCCTCTTGCAAAGTATTCTATGGGTTTGGACCAATGCATTGCCAAGCAGCTGATTATGCTGTTGAGCTAAATCCCAGGCCCTGCTAAGCCATATTTTTCGAGTGTATAGCAAGATGAAAAACATGCATGTTTTCTATACTTTTTCCCAGAATATTTAATCAGTAAGAAACAATTTAAAATAAGTGTATTAAACTTACATTAAGTTAAAGTATTTTATATGTACCCAAATCAGAGCTTATTATAATTTTATTATAATTTTAATATACAAATATGAATATATTGTTATAATTTTAATGTATAAATATCAAATATACAATTATAATGTATTGTTAATTATATTAACATATGAGAAATATATAATATAAATTGTAACATTAGACAAGGCTATAAGTGACATAACAGATTAATATATAACATAGTATGTAATATTGGATAATGTAATCATTATTAATTATACAGGTATAATTTATTCTAGCACATTATCTGTCCCAAAATATCCAAAATAGTATCATTATAATATGCTCTAAATGTTTCTAAATCGCTAGTACACTAATAATGTTATAGTAACAAATCTTTTAATATCTAGTAGTTTACTAGTGTGTTAGAATTCGTGATGATACCTTATTCCCATACATACTGATTTTCACACTTGAGCACGGCTCAGTTAGGCTGGGGATACTTTGGTCTGTATTTTAGGTTTAAAGACACAGAGCCATTACTTCGTAAATTTAGATTAAATTCACAAAGCCAATAGACGCCAACTTCTTAAAAATGTACTTGCTATTACATACATAACTGGTGCTGTTATGTATATTCATAATGCCCACTAGTGTTGGAGTTTTAAATCCTAGTTAGACTGAAGACTTGTGGGGGGCTCTTTGGTTCTTTTTGCTTTGAGACAGGGTCTCTCTGTGCAGTTCAGGCCGGCCTTGAGCTCACTTTGTAGCCCAGGCTGGTCTCGAACTTGCAAGGATCCTCCTGCCTCAGCCTCCCGAGTGCTGGGATGACAGGCAGGCGCCAACACACTGGCATCCCCAACCCTTACACAGAAAACAAAAAAAAATTATTTTTGGAGACACTGTCTCACTAAGTTGCCAGATTGCCTAGGCTGGGCTCAAATCTGTGATCCTCCTGCCTCAGCTTCCCAGAGTGCTGGGATTGCAGGCGTGCACCGGCACATACAACTACTTCCAATGATTGCAAAGGCAATGGTTACACAACGGCCACTACACCACCGCTCTCCCTGGGAGTTACCCGCTCTAGCGGCCTGTAGTCTACTCGCTTGGACAAAGGCAGAGCCACGCAGAGCTCCTGTGATGAGCAAGCCACAGCAGGCATTCGGGCAGGCGCAGGATTGAGCCAGGAAGCCTGCCCTACAGCTCAGTGCAACGTCTGCGCGTGCAGGCATCTGCGTGGCGGACCCCTTCGAGGTCACGGTGATGCAGGATTTCTTCATCGACCTGCGGCTACCCTACTCCGTGGTACGCAACGAGCAGGTGGAGATCCGCGCGGTCCTCTACAACTACCGCGAGGCCCAGAGTCTCAAGGTGGGTCTCTGGTGGCCGAGCCCGGGAAGGGGGCTCAGCTCGGCAGTGCGCGCAATGCATCCCTGCCCTGACGCCCTCTCCCCTGCAGGTGAGGGTGGAGCTGCTGCACAACCCCGCCTTCTGCAGCCTGGCCACCGCCAAGAAGCGCCACACCCAGACGGTGACCATCGGACCCAAGTCCTCTGTGGCGGTGCCCTACGTCCTGGTGCCCCTGAAGATCGGCCTGCAGGAGGTAGAGGTCAAAGCTGCCGTCTACAACTACTTCATCAGCGACGGCGTGAAGAAGACCCTCAAGGTCGTGGTGAGTCGCCCCGTGACCCGGGGAGGGCAGCAGGCTGCAGGCCGGAGTGGGAGGACCCGGCTCAGACAGGAAGCAGACGCCTTAGAAGGTCCAAATGTTTGGGAGTGGAACCAGAAACGGCGGGTGAGCTTGGATGCAGAATTTCAGGGCCTGCCCAAAAGATCATCCATCTCGATGAACCCTAGATCACGATCATTGCTATGATGAATAATGTTTTCTATTATTTTTAGTTTTTATTTTTTTGTCTTTTTGAGAGGAGGCCTCACTATGCAGTTCAGGCTGGCCTTGAGCTCACTTTGTAGCCCAAGTTGGTCTCAACCTCGCAAGGATCCTCCTGCCTCAGCCTCCCGAGTGCTGGGATTACAGCTATGTGCTACATGCCAGCTTCTGTTTTCACCTTTGTAAATTTAGAAAGCTGCCATGTGTATTTTAAGCAATCCAAAGGAGGCCTGGGGATGTGGCCAGGTGATGGAGCACTGTTTATCATGCACTATCCCGGGGTTCCATCCTCAGTATCAGAAACAAACAATAGCAAAACGATAGAAAGAAATGAAAAAAAAAAACTGGATGTGGTGGCACACACCTGTTATCCCAGCACTCGGGAGGCTGAGGCAGGAGGGCTGCAAGGTCCAGCCCAGCCTGGACCACTTAGGTACTTAACAAGACCCTGTCTCAAAAGAGAAAATTTGAGCCAGGGACACAGCTCAGTGGCACAGCGCCTGCCTGGCAAGTGTGAGGCCCTCCCTGAGTTCAATTCGTGGAACCAAAACAAAACAAAATAAAATAATCTGGAGATGTAGCTCAGTGTGATGGCTCTGGGGTTCAATAATCAGCACCACCAAAAAAAAAAAAAAGAAAGAAAGAAATCCAGATATAGCAGTTGTCACATTGTGACCACTGAATGAGTTAATCTGAGCAGTTTCTTGAAGCACCTGAAGATTTCAAATAGTATCATTATTTCATTATTGACTTATGCTTTGTGATGAGTTTGTATGACGGTGGATGGTTGGTTTTTATTCTCTCTTCTTTGTATAGCAGGCAGCTAAATGCACAGAGAGGCTGGGTAACTGGTTCCCGGTCACACAGCGAGAAGGGGAGGGGGCCAGGTTCCGACCCAGGCTAAGGAACCCTGGGTACCGTGACTTGCTCATCTGTGGGTGTCTGTTTATCTTTCTGTTCACCTGACCTGGTGCCCGCACCCCAGCCCGAAGGGATGAGAGTCAACAAAACGGTGGCCATTCGCACTCTGAACCCAGAGCAGCTGGGCCAAGGTGAGCCCGGAAGAGGAGCCCAGCCTGGGCCTGGCCGTGGGTGCGGGGCTGGGAGGGTGCCCGTGCCACCTTGTGCCTCTTTCCACAGGCGGCGTTCAGAGGGAGGAAATCCCAGCTGCAGACTTAAGCGACCAAGTCCCAGACACCGATTCTGAGACCAAGATTCTCCTCCAAGGTGAGGTTCCCTGAGCCCCGATGTCGTGGGGCCTAGGAAGGCGTCCACGGCAGCCGTCAGCCTAAAGTGGGGCGCTGAGTTCTGTCAAGTTTTGGGAGTGATTAACCACTGCGCCTCCCTCCTCCCCGTAGGACAGAGTAGAGCCTTGAGGGTGTCTTTGATGGGAGCTTCCTGGCAGGATGGAGTTCTGCAAAGAATTTCTGCTGATAAACACATTTATATGAGAGGCTGGCTGTGCTGGTGCACGCCTGTCATCCTCTCTTTGGGAGGCTGAGGCAGGAGGATCGCAAATTGGAGCCCAGTCTAGGCAACTTAGTGAAACCCTGCCTCAAAAATATATTAATAAAAAGGGCTGAAGATGCCGCTCAGTGCAAAGACCCTGGATTCAATCCCTAGTGCCGCCTAAACAAACAAAAACCAAAAACGAAAATGAAAACACCATACAAATTTTATAAGTGACATGGATCAAAAGCAGAAATGGTTCAAATTATTGCCCATGACGGAAGACGATTGGAGCAGGAAGGGGACGAGAAGGATGCCTGGAGCCCCTGGACCTGTAAGGGTGACCGGAAGTGAATAACAGTGACCCCCCCCAGCGAGGCTATGGTCTTAAATGAGATACTATGCGGTGTCCGGTTAGACCTGCGTGCAGTTCCCGCCCCAGCTCTTCCCTGACCCTGGGCGGTGGGAGGCCGGGGACGCCGTGGGCACCTGACTGGAGCACGGCCGGCTGCAGGGACCCCGGTGGCCCAGATGGCCGAGGACGCTGTGGACGCGGAGCGGCTGAAGCACCTGATCATCACGCCCTCGGGCTGCGGAGAGCAGAACATGATCGGCATGACGCCCACCGTGATCGCGGTGCACTACCTGGACCAGACGGAGCAGTGGGAGAAGTTCGGCCTGGAGAAGCGGCAGGAGGCGCTGAACCTCATCAACAGGGGTGAGCGGGGCTCCTCCTCCCCAGGCCCCGCCCCGCGGAGAGCCACGCCCCCGATCGAGGCCACGCCCTCCCCGACCACGCCCCTCCCGGGAGGCACCAGCGCCCTCCCGAGGCCTCCTCTCACCTCCGGCCCTCTCACGCCTCAGCTCGCCCTGCCTCTCCGGCCACTCCCCTTCAGTGACTGTCATTCCCTGCAGGGTACACACAACAGCTGGCTTTCAAACAGCCCAACTGGGCCTACGCGGCTTTCAAGAACCGGGCGTCCAGCACTTGGTGAGTCTGCAGCTCCGCAAAGCGCCAATGGAGATAGGCCCCGCCCCTCTCTGCCCATTGGCTGGCAGGGTTCTGGATCCCAGCGCTGATTGGCCCACGCTCTGTTGCGCGCCCTCAGGCTGACCGCCTACGTGGTGAAGGTCTTCTCGCTGGCGGCCAATCTCATTGGCATCGACTCGGAGGTCCTCTGCGGGGCGGTGAAATGGCTGATCCTGGAGAAGCAGAAGCCCGACGGAGTCTTCCAGGAGGACGGGCCCGTGATACACCAAGAGATGATTGTAAGAAGCTGGGCCCCGGGGCCCAGTGGGGGACAGGGAAATAAAGGTCACACTGACCTTGCAAAACTCGAGACCCAGCCGGGCGTGGTGGCGCTCGCCTGTCATCCCAGCACTATGGGAAGCTGAGGCAGGAGGACTGCACGTTCCAACCCGGGCTGGAAAACTTACTGAGAATTTGTCTCAGTAAAAAGTAAAAAAGAGATTGGAGAGGTAGCTCAGTGCAAAGGTCCTGGGTCGCATTCCCGGGACAAGGAAGAAAGATTGAGTTAACGATTTCAAAGAATGTTTTTAGGCAAAATAGCTTAAACTATATATATATATTTTTGGTATCGGGAATCAACTCGTGACCTGGCACTTGCCAGGCAGGCACTTGTGTCTGCTGAGCTAAACCTTAGGCCCTAGCCTGCACATCTTAAAAAAGGAAAAAAAAAAAAAAGAAAGAACAGAAAAGAATGCAGTGCGCTGGACTCTGCCTTTTCCCTGTAAAATGAGCAGTTATCTTTCTACCTGTATGGTGATCATCACTTATTCCTGTAAACCAGTCTTCATAGGCTCACAAATTCCACAAATTTCCTTATCAAAAACGCATAAATATCTCCAGCTCTAAACTCTAGTGCATTCCTCTCTTGAGGCGCTGTGCCCTATTTCTTTGAGTGTGCTTTTATAAATTCTACCTAATAAATCCCTTTATGTCTAGAAAGAAGGAGAAAAAGGAAAATAGATTTCCAGAGCTCACTGCCAAATGAAAATACATGGCATCTTGTTCAGAAATAAGTAAGAATTTCATTAAACCAAGCACAGCGCTCCTCTCATATCTGATCCAATCTGACCTAATCCTGTCCAATCCAGTCCGTCTCCAACTCCTGCCTGACTCCACTGTCTGGAGGTGGCTTCAGACTGCCCCTTCTCCCCCTCCTGAGGCCAGCCCTGATGGGAGCACCTCTCCAGCGCTCAGCACCGCTTCCTGGTTTCTGTCTCCTGGTTATCGGGTTTCAGGCACCTGCTGGAGCCAATGGGAAGCCTTATTCAAGTTTAATAGGGTCCCGCCTTAGAGAGTAAATGAAAAGGGAACCCCTTAGACTAGCAGTTCTCAAAATACGGTCCTCTGATCAGCAGGACATCAACCACAGAGTTATCAAAACTGCATTCTGAGATTGGACCCCAGTTCATTATTGAACTGAAATTGCTTCCCAAGTGATGCTGACATGTGCTTAGGATGGTCATTGATGCTCTAGTCTGATCCTTAGGAATCCAGCCATGTAGGCTTTCTTTTTTCCATATCCACACTAAAAGAAGCTCTGCCCTGCCACAGGGCCTTTGCACATGCTTGCCTTTTTTGACAGTTGACTGCTACTTTTGAGATCAGACCTAAGGCTTTGGTTTATGATATTTTACATTTATCCTGGGTTATTGGGATGTCAACCTGCCATAAGTCAAGGGGCATCTTGTATCTGTGAAGCTGCTGGCTGGTTCACATCCGTCATCCCTAGCAGACTAGAAGCCTCTCGAAGGCTGGGGCTCTTTGTATCCACAGATCCCACACTATGGCCTCCACTGATATTTGCAGAATGAAAAAAGTGATCAAATAACTTCACACTAAAGAGTTTGGCCATCAGGAACCTGTCATCCCAGCACTCTGGGAAGCTGAGGCAGGAGGATTATAGATTTGATTCCAGCTGGGGCAACTTAGTAGCTTAGTGAGAGCCTCTCTCAAAAAAAGCGGGGGTTGGGGATGGAGCTCAGTGTAAGGACCCTCGTACATGGAAAAATAAAAGATAAGAGGTTGACCTTCCCAGTGGAAGGAGAACCCCAGAAGAGCCTTGCCCAGCCCAGAGGAGGACAGAAAGTGACCGGTCCTTGCTTTCTGCCCCCCCCCAGGGTGGTGTCCGGACCGCCCAGGAGGCTGATGTGTCCCTCACGGCCTTCGTGCTCATTGCATTGCAAGAGGCTAAAGATATCTGCAGAGCACAGGTCAACGTAAGTGTCCTCCGCGTCTCCAGCCCGCCCCAGCCACGCCACCCCGGAAAGGGCACTCTGGGGCACGGGCACTGTCATCGGAAATGAGCGTGATGGGAACTTGCTGGGACCGGTGAGGGAGAAGGGTGCGGAGGAGGAGGAGGAGGGCGGAGAGGGTTGGGGGCTAAGCTGTGTTCCCAGCAACCCCCAATCCGGACCCTTACCAATGTCCCCTGCCCGCTGGAGCTTCTCCCGCCAACACCCAGTGATGCCAGTGGGACCGTTTACCCCACCGGAAGTGACCATCACTAAGCCAGGCTGCCCTGGGCCCCTCAGGAGAGGTCACTCCTTCATATTTATCAGAGCGCCTTGGGTACCTGAGAGGGACTCAGCCCCAAGACAGACAGCTCCAGGGGCCAAGGATGAGAAAGCCTCAGAATAGATCCTGGAGAGTTTCAAGGACAGACCAAATGTGGTGCCAGCTGTCGGTGGTGGCAGAGCTGTGCTTTCCTGAAAGAATAAAAGAGAGAGACCTAACCAGAAACTGACCAGAAACCAGAAAACCAGAGATCCAAACGCCAGGCCCCATCACCCGGCCTCAGCCACCCAGCCAGAGAAGGGAAGGGTTTTAGTCCCTTGCTGACGCCCGCTATCACCATGGTGACGACACGGTGCCATGAGGCCCATCCTAACACACTTACCCGGCTCCCTTCCCCTGCAGAACCTGGAAGCGAACATCAACAAAGCTGGCGATTACATCGAGTCAAGATACGCAGACGTGAGGAGACCGTACACGCTGGCCATCGCTGGCTACGCCTTGGCCCTGCTGGAGAGGCTGAACGGCGCAACCCTCCAAAAATTTCTAAACGCAGCTACAGGTGGGAGCAGCCTCAAGGGGGAATGTGTGCCGGGGGCCCGAGGGAGGACATCCTGGACTGGGGTGCTTGGCTCTGAGCTGGGCAGGGATGGATGGGTGGATGGGGCGGGTGAGCCTAGGCAGAGCGGGGCGCAAGGCTGTAAGATGCGCCAAGCTGCAGGAGCCAGCAGGTCCCTGCCAGCGCTTGGTCACCAGCTGTGCCCTGAGCGCTCGGGCAAGGCGGGCCTGAGAGAGGCAGGAGGAGGGGGCAGGAGATGGCCCCGGGGGTGTCCCCGAGCCACACCCGAGCCGGACGGGCAGTGAGTTGTCGGGGTGCTCTCTCTGCAGAGAAGAACCGCTGGGAGGAGGCCCGTCAGAAGCTGTACAGCGTGGAAGCCACGTCCTACGCCCTCCTGGCCCTGCTCCTGCTGAAGGACTTCGACGCGGTGCCTCCCGTCGTGCGCTGGCTCAACGAACAGAGATACTACGGCGGGGGCTATGGCTCCACCCAGGCAAGGCCCGGGCCCCAGGATCTCAGGCCCCCTCCTAGCCTGCCACGGGCATCGCAGAGAGACCCTGAGGCTCGGACAGGCAGCTTCCTCTGCCCTGCAAGCCAGCGGGCCAGAGGACGGCTCTAGATTGCACCCAGCATTGTAGGTGTCCGGGGCTTGCCGCGGGCTCCTGCTCCAGGCTGCGTTCTCGGGCGGTCCAGGCCCCGCGGCCTGCGCCTGCTGCACTGTGTGCAGTAACCTAAGCCTTCACCCGACCTCCTTTCTTTCCGGACGGCTCGCACACAGAGTCTCGGGGTCACTTTTGGATCCAGGGTCCCTGGCCTCTGATTGTTGTTTCCTCATGAGGATACGCTACACACTTTTCGGGCCGACACTCTGGCCTACACCTCTCTCCTCTGGGTGGTTTAGACCACTTTGTCGGTGTTTCTAGGCCTGCAGTCTTGTACCAGGATTTTCTGGTGGGTGCTCGATACGTGCTGAGCATCTCCAAGTGCTCCTCTAAGCCTGTGTACCTTGGAGAGTTCTAGAACACGTCCTTGGTGTCTTGCGACCTCCCGTCTCATGTTTATACTCCCCAGTGGGTCCGAGGCCACAGGTTTATGGCCAGCAAGCCTGAGCCTCTCAAGTGAGAGAGTTCCAGGCCCTGTGCTGAGCAGCCAGCTCCTCCGGCCTCACCCCTGCACCCCAAGACGGGTCTAACCCTCCCCCTGCCTCTGGCCTGCATCTTCACCCCGGTGGGCCTCACCAGCCGCTCGGGCTGCCAACCCTCGCCCTCCCTCCACTTCCAGGCCACCTTCATGGTGTTCCAAGCCTTGGCCCAGTACCAGACAGATGTCCCCGATCACAAGGACCTGAACATGGAGGTGGCCCTCCAGCTGCCCAGCCGCAGCTCCCCGTCCAAATTTCGCCTCGTCTGGGAAGCCGGTAGCCTCCTGCGGTCAGAAGCGGTACGGCCTCCCCACCAAGTCCTCGGCGCTGCCGGCCATCACACCCATGGCGGCGGGAAAGGCTTGGCGCTCAGCTTTTCTCCTCCCCTGTCCTCCACAGACCAA